CGGTAATTGGAATGTAGGTTCAAATGCTGATGTCCTGGATTTGTGTAAAAGATTATTCGCATTGTCATTCATAATCAGAATATTTATCCCAATTATTGCTTTGGAAATTGCGGGTTTATAGATCAGATTTTTCGAAAAATTCTATCCTTTTTTAACAGCAGTTTGGATATATCCCGAGACTTGTCTCTAACTATAAAAATGTCAGATTCACAAAATTTCATGGGCTCTGTACTCCAAAAGTAGGTGCCGTATCAGGGTCAGGAACACCTCGCTTTAGATTAAGTTCATCACCATCTCCCTCTACTGTAGGCCTATATATATTCCACGAACTGGCTTGTTAACGAACCACTTGTCTCCCTCCGCCCAGGTGTACACGGACGACGACTACATGCTCGACCTCAACCGCTACCACCTCATCAATGCCTTCAAGTCGTTCTTCTTCAGCTGCCTTCATGACCCTCTGGTGTACGAGCAAGAGAACAAGTGAGCGGCTTACAGGCCCCGCGACTGTTGTTTCACGAGCACTCGCTTTCTGTCGAGTAATTACGGGTGAAGAGGAGCCTTTCAGTAGCAATAATCATCGTTCCCTCCCTTTTATCCACCTCCTTACTTCTTCCTCCTGAGCCTGAAGGAGGTAGGATTCTCTTCGTCGCGGCCCCCCGTCCTGCTGGGTCCTGGCCTGATGGATGAGTAACCAAGAGCGTTGTCTATGAGGTGTTTTTCTACGTTGTTGATGAGGAGAGCCACGTGACGACAATCCCTGCTGAGTGGCCAAGTGAGACGTTCGAGCCACCAGAGAGGCGTCATACCTCACCCTCGAGCCTCAAGAAACATGCGAGGCAACGAGGCTCCCGTCAGGTTTCGGTCTTCCTCCGAGTGGAGGCGAGAGGCCGACGGAGGCGGGGCCCACAAGTCTCGTTATGCCTACGTAAACTACGTTGTTAAGACTTCATTTGTTACTAATGATTACTCCCTTATGTCCCCTAGTCATCGGTATCGTTGTTTTTGTTTTTTTTGTTTCTTAGTATTTCGCTTTTTCACAAATTTCCCTCAGTATTGCATCGCCTCCGTAGATCCAACCCCACCGTGTTTACGTGTGCATGTTTTTTAAGAAATGTATCTTTTTCGTATTCACCGAATGAAATCCATCTCAATCATCACGGTTAATCAAAAAGTTCGGCCTTCTCTTTTTTCTATTCCTCTCTCAAACGCGAAACTCAAGGTCCAAACCCCACGGACCCTTTGCCTTAGGCTGAAAATCCTTTCGAGTTCGTTGAACACGTGAGAACCGGTCTGCCTGCTTCCCAGAGGTCCTGTGAGAAAGTGCCACAGAGGGAGATAGGGCCTCTGAGTCAACATTCTGTGGTGCTTCCCTGGGCCGGCGCCAGTGTATCTGCTAATCTGTAAGTGTAGACAAGACCTGTACGGGAGGAAGAGCTTTGATTTCGCCGCCATGCTCGAACGTGTGCAGTGGCAGCTTCTGATGTGTCGCTGCTCTCTGTGTCTCTGTTACTGGTAATGATGTAAGGACAGCCGTGTCTCCAGCCACTAGAACTGCGGTACAAGGTAGACTCATAGTAGATTTTACCCCTCGAACAAGTTAACTTTTTTCTATTGTTCAAATAAAAAAATCTCTTATTCGCATGCAGATTATTTTTACCAGATGAAGGAAGAAAGAAAATAGTAATATAGTGTCGATGTGTTAAGTCCAGAGACAGGGCTTTTGATAAAGAAGAAAAGGAATGTGGTTGAAAAACAAAAACAACTGGCTAGGTTCATCTAGGTTTCTTCTCAGGAACTAGAATTTATCCTCAGTCAGACTCTTCTTTGCATCGCTGCTGCCGATAAACATTCGTTTTTTTACCCTTAGAGAGCAGTCCCTTAGTGTTTTTTCTAAGGGTGACTACTAATGTATTATGTAGATAGAATGGAAGCAGGGTCTTAGGATATTGCTTATAGCAGTATCTTTTGTACAGTGTTGTACAATATCAAAGTATGTACATATATACCTATTACAGTAAAGTACATTTGTTAACATATTGTTTCCCCTGAATAGTCCTGTTATCCCGACAAGAGCTATGGTCTATGTAAGTGTACAGTGTTATGGCGTAATGTAGGTACTTTCCTAAGGTAAGGTTCACCTCGGAACAACATCAATAGCTTCTACAAACTGGCTACAGGTTATCGTTTCTTCATGAAATGAAAGATAATCAAAACATGTGTGAAATCTCGCGATTCAGTTAGCAACAGCTGTCCCCATCCCGAGTTACCCCACTCTCCTCTTATCGTAAATAGTTCTACTTTGTTCCAAAGGCCTAAATAGCAGATAGACCCTCCTCCCTTTGCTTTGAGATTAGAATGACATAGACAAAATAAAGATGGCGGAGAAGGGGAGAGGAAATATGAGATATATTATTTTCTGTGTCCATTTTTTTTCGGACAGGCCTACCTCGAAGACAGCCTCCAGTCTTTGTGCGTTGTGGATACTCGTTCACATCCG